AAACATCAAATATAATGAAACAGAAAGAGTATTTAACATCAACAATTGGATATTGGATGTTTGGTCTAGTGGTATGATTTCGCTTCGGGTGCGAGAGGTCCCGAGTTAGATTCTCGGAACACCCCAAATATCGATTTGATAAGGATAACCCATATGTTTTCGTTTTAAATTGGGCCTTAGATAATCCAGCCTTTAAATTAGTTTACTCTCCTTTTCGTTTATTTGGGCCACTCATAAACCTTGGCCCATAACGCAAAGCCCGAAAATTCATTCAGTATCCTCGTAATGTCCCAGTCTCTCTCGTTCGATAACATATTTTGGTGGTTTTCTTTACATTATAGCGAGTGCAAATTTCCATACGACATATACGTTTGTACCACAATCATCATCCAAGAGAGATTTTATCTGATCTAATCATCAACTGGGCCACTAGCCTGCAAAACGGGCCCAAAGCGAAGAATATATCATGTGCAATTGTGCATGGTCACGCGTGCTCACTCACCATAACGCAGATAAATAAATACACGAATGTATCTATCCATTTTCCTTCTCATTCTCTAAATTAATTTGTCATCAGACAGACGATACTAAATGATATCATCGTCTAGTTGTTGTCTCTCCCAACGGCAGTTTTTATTAGTTAATCACATTTTTATCCGATGAAATTATCGGCCTAAGCATTTGCCCCAGGCGGCAAAACCTTAACCAGACTCAGATCACAAAAGATCTGACCCGACCGGAGGAAACAAGACATGGGAAACAAAAACAATAAAGTAAATTTCAATCTAAGGAATCACACGGCCAAACTTTCTGCACTCCGTAGCAGATCTCTGCTCTTGGCCTTGGCAGAAGAAAAACGTTGCCGGACACCAGGAGAAGCAGTTTCCGGCGAGCTGCAAATTCGCTGATCCAGGCTTCAGCCCCAACAAAGGACCCGGAACCACTCCGAATAAGAAATTACCGCCTAGTAACAGTCTCTGAAACCCGGCGAAATCGGATCCGGGCGATACGGTTTTCCAGACGTACTGTGTCGGAATCATTCCATAGAACCTGTTGTTCTCTAACGACAAAGCTGAGAGCTTTGGTAATAAACCCATGAACAGAGGTAACACGCCTTGGATCTGGTTGTTGCTAAGATCGACGGATATTAGCTCGCTAGGAAGACCCAATGGTGAATAGTAAGGTGAATCCAAAGAGGTGAAGCCATTGAAGGAGAGTGTTAGCTGTTGGAGAGTTCGATGATTGAAGATGAACGATGGGATTGAGCCACTGAGTCTGTTGTTGCTAAGATCCACAACTTGTAAAGAGTGTAGGAATTTGAAGCTTTGTGGGATGGTTCCTTCGATGAGGTTATTTCGCATGGAGATTTGGACTACTGATTCAGGTAAAGATGACGGGACCCGACCCGAGATCCGGTTATCACTCGCGTCGAGGTAATTAAGGTTTTTGAGCTTGTTCAGATCGGGAAATTCGCCGGTGATGTTGTTGAGCTGGATTTCTAGCCGTTTCAGATTTTGAAGGCCGTTTAAACTCGCCGGAATGGAGCCGTCGAGACGGTTGTTGTCGAGTTGGAGCTCCTCGAGAGCCAGCATCGACCCGATTGAATCGGGTATGGATCCTGAGAAGGAGTTTCCGGAAACTGTGAGGCGGGTCAGGCGGGTGAGGTTGGAGAGGGAGTCGGGTAGTGGACCGGAGAAGTAGTTGCCGGAGAGATCGAGTGTCTGAAGGTAAGGGAGGTTGAAGGAGACGGAGGAGAGGGAGCCGGAGTAACCGGGATGGTCGAGACTGATCTCCGTGACCCGACCCGACCCGGAAACGACAGAGTCGCAACGGAAGCCGCAAGTGAACTTGTCGCTGAACAAACTGTCGCAGGGATCGAGAGAGAAATCCCATGAAGTGAGACAAGAGCCAGGGCTCATGGATTTGGCATCTATGGAGTTCTTGAAGTCTTGAAGAGCTGCCACGTCACCCCAGTAAGTCTTGGACTCTGCTGAAGGAAAAGTGAGCAAAAGAAGAAGAAGGAAAAGAAGAGAAGCCATTTTTGGCTTCAAAGACAGACCTT